GTCACGCACACAGGGCGACACACTCAATCGCGGCTGTGCACGCACACAGCGTGCGCCACTTATACGCCTCGTACCCCACACACGCTCCACATACGCCGCCTCACGCACACACGCGCTCACGCACACACGCTCGCGACACACGCCGCTCACGCGCGACACACGCCGCCTCCCGCACACACTGCGCTCATCGCACACACGTCGCAGCACACGCGCCCGACGCCCCACACACGTCGCCGACACACCGCGCCGTCCGGACTCGCTGTGACATCGACGCGCACATGTACGCGGCTTCGAGCGTCACCAATCCCAGTGGTTCACACACACCGCTTTCTGCTTAACGAACCCACGCTGCACACACTTCCGCCTCGAGGCCACCCATACGTCGCACACACGCGCTTCACTCCACCCACGTCGCACGACACGCGCCTCACGCACACACGCTCAGCACACTCGACGCGCTCGACTGCCACACTACGTCGCACATACGCTTCGGCTTCACGCACACACGTCGCGACACACACACGCGCTCTCCTACGCCACATCACGTCGCCCACGACACGCGCACGGACGCATCATCGATGTTTTTGGTTCCTGGCGCTCACGCCGAAACAACACGTCGCCACACACCGCGCTGACGCACAGCACGTCCGCCACACAGCGTCTGCCACACAGTCGCACACTACGCGTTCACGCCCACACACCACACGCCCCTCACGCACCCAAGCGGATCAGCACACACGCGCGCTCACGCTACACACGCGCGCGACACACGCGCTCACGGCACACACGTCACGCACACACGTCGCCACACACGCGCTCACGCCACACATCGCAACCCCGCCGAAAACTGTTCCGGCGCGGCCTGCGAGAACCTTTTTAGTGTTGCTATAGTGCGGTCAACGATTGGCCTTCTTTCCCTTTTGTGCTGCTGCCAAGTTTTCATTTATTCAAGTGCATTTGGAGCAGCATGAATAATGATCACAACGTTGAGAAAAATGCTGTCTTGAATAAATGTCAGCTACCGTGTTCTTTTTTAACACGTTTTTTATTCTTATATCAAATCATTCTTATGCAGAAATCATCAAATCGAGAAAGTTAGTTATGAAGGTTTTTAGGAGACCTAGTCACTCAACATTAGACACTGTATTCAATGATTAAGCCGGGAACACGAGCCTATAATTCACGCAAGGAGACATCTGTTGAGTAAACTGTGTCTAGCACAACGGCTTTTAAGAATGTTAATTTCGTTGTCAAATTGACTGATATATGCTGTACATCGCGACGATATGACCTATAACTGGAGCTAACAATAATAACGGCGTACCAATATATTTTTGTGATCAGCCTCAAAACACAAATGCATTGGTTTTTGCTGCCTTTTTGTTTCTTGATTTTCTGATGATTGCATTGTGGACACCCTTTTCTAATCTTATCACAAACCAATGCATGTTTGTGTTGTGCTATGTTGTGTTGTGTGTGGTCCGGTACGGTGTGTGTTTTCTCTGTCTTTCGTGTGTGTGCTGCTGTGTGTGTGTGTGTGTGTGTGTGTGTGTGTGTGTGTGTGTGTGCGCTGACCGCTGTTTTGTTGTCCGAACCCCCGCCCCTCCCCGCCAGCAAAACGCATTCTGAGCGGCGGCGTCTCAATTTTAAAAAATTTGTTTATAGTTGGTTATGGGGAGGCACGCCCCAGACACCCCCCTCTTCGCGATGCTCCGGTGATCTGGTGTCCCCCGACGACATCTTCAGAAATGGATTTGCGCGCCTGAAGAGCCTGCTGTTTTTTTGAGTGAGAAACGCGCCCCACGCTATGGAGTATATGCTGTCCCCTCAATATTATGATGGATGATAGGCGTCGCCCTAAGCTGGAACATTGCGCCACGATCTCATCTGATGTGTACATCATCAATAAATAAGAAGAGACCACACGTGACACATTCAATAGCGTCAATTATTATTAGCATGCCATAGCGACGCTCAACATCCCAATTTCACACATGAGCACATATCCATAGCGCGTGCCTTCTCGCAAGCGGAATGCTACACTATATAATCAAAGAGCGTATAAAGAAGCTTCTTTATCTGCTCTGGCATAGTGAGAGTGGGAGGTGAGGCGCGAGCGGGCCAACACCGAGGTGAGGGATATTAGCCGATTTATTATGCGATGCTGTGCGTTGCGTGTGTTATGCTAAGCCGTCGCGTTCGTGCGGTCCGTGCGATCCGCTGTGTGCGCACGTAACACGCTGCCGTGCGATGCGTGGCTCCTGCCTGCGCTGTGTGCCAGCGTACACGTAGTGCGTGCAAGTGTGTGTGTGCAGTACACTGTTCGTGGACACGTGCTGTGCCATGCATCGGCTGCACGTAACGTAGCGTGCGCTTGCTTGCGTGCGTGGTGCATCGCACACGTGCCGTGCATGCGTGTGGCGTGCCCTGTGCAAGTACACGCTGCGTGCCGTGCGTGCAAGCTACACGTGCCGTGCCGTGATAGCAATACCACAGTGGCCGTGCTGTGCAAGTACGACGTGCGTGCGTGTGCACATACACGTGCAAGTGCTTGTGCGTCTGTGCGACTACATCGTGACTTAGTGTGCGCTATCGTGGAGTTATGCTACTATTCGCTAACTCGAGCTGTAAGGCCCTCGTGTAGACGCTTAACTCCGCAGTTTAAGGCCCCGCTGTAGACGTTCTTAACTTCTACGTTAAGCGCCCGTGTTAGACGCTTAACTTGAGTTAAAGCCTCGTGCTAGACGCCATTAACTTGCATTAAGGCCCCGTCGTTAGCACGCATCATAACTTGCCCGCCGTGTAGATTGCCTTAACTCGAGTTAAGGTTCGTCGTGTAGACGAGACGCTAGGCTCTTGAAACGTTTCAATAAGAAAATGATGGTGAATAAACACGAAATGTATTCACTACCATCTCTACTATCTTTCGCCTATTATTGCCGACAATTTCTTGTAAATACCGTTCAAATTCTCATCTGCAACAAACAAGTATATATAATATACTGCACGCACGCGCGGCTGGCACAAATGTAATTAATTATTGTAAATCATGTATGACCATGTATGTAATAATTAATGTTATTGTTGTTAACGTGAGATTCTTGTTAGTTGTGCACAGCAGCGTGTGTGCGTGCGGTATACTTGTGTGTTGCAGAGGAGCATTTGAACCGCATTTACAGGAAATTATCGGCGAAAGACAGTAGAGAAATATTAAGACTTTGGCAATAAATACATTTCATGTTTATTTACCATCATTTGACAGTATTGAAACGTTCCAAGAGCCTGTGTTTTTTGAGTGAGAACACGCGCTATAGATATATGTGCTCATGTGTAAAATTGGCATGAATTGAGCGTCGCTAAGCTGGAACCAATAAAGGGAATATATATTGCGCAGATGTTGTATGAGTTTTATATGAAATTTGACGTTTTAGCCTTCAAAAGAAGCCTAATTGCTAGTGGTAAACTCCGCAGCCAGCCCGTCTTGTATTCGATGCATGAGAGAGATGTATAGTCACAGTTTGTAGCACGGCATGTAAAAGCAGATGGCCTAAAACCAGAATATTCTCTCCAGTGTGAGCATGTGAACAGTATTCAATCGCCATGGTGTTGCCACGTGCCAAGGCGTGCAAGCATAATAATGATGTTGACGATGGTTTAATGACAGATGAATATCGCTTCTATCTATACTATAATACGGTACATTTATTTAACATACGCTCCGCATTCGTTCTACATGCGGTTATACAATGTAACTTTCACAAAACCATCGTATCAATGTATCGTAGAATGTGATGCGCATATAAAAGAAGCCATTTTCACAAATGCACATTTTACTAGTAGTGCAGTCATACACTAATAGTCAACGAAACCTCTTAAAACACATCCAGTAAGATAAATGTGGAATCTCTGACAATTAGACCCCTGATGGAAACCTTCTATCAAAACGATTAATCCTACGGACGAATTTCACTTAGCAGCTATTACTTCTTGTTCGAATACCGATAATACTACCTAGGTCTAACAAAGAGCAAGCAAAATACATGCCTGTAAAATAACCAGCAGAAGTGTAAAATGATATAATTTCAAAATATGAACAGTTGAGATTTTAACTATTTAAAATAAACGTCCTTATAATACTAGAGTTCTAAGCACAGTGCCGCTATTCCGGCGCACATACAAATAAAATTTACAGACTGACATGCTTTGATATATTAAAACACACACGCCGTTCAAGCAAGTTAAAGAGGGTGCAATTGAACACACAACATCACTATTCTACAGACGACTCTTATCTGATCTGATCCATGTCAGTTCTAGAACAATACAGACCGGTAACAATTCACAGACTCGCTTCTATTTACAATGCGATGCACACTCCACTGTTCACCCTAAACACATCAAGCTAGTGGTGCGCCCGGCCACTCACTCCTGTGGCATACACTGGCAGACCTCTTAGAAGTTAAATGCAGGATATCTGACATTCTGGCGACGTCACCCTTTCATCAGCCAGCTTAGCAAGGAAAACAGATAAAGCAAATTACGAGTAAACCTCTTGCAACTCTTTATAGTTGCATCCTGCAGTCTATAACCTGCGATATCCGATTTTCTTGCTTTGAGAAACTATACGCGATGAGCCAATGAAAACAGCACGTTTGCACTGTCAGTTCTCTCAATGACAGAAGCAAACCGATATACAGCATGCACAACTTCATCGCAGCATCACATCACAGACAGCATTGACACTAAATCTCAACGAAGGTCGTGATTCCTTAAACACAGACCATGTAAAATGTGTGTAAGTACTACGCAACTTGAGCTGTAGATTTGTAAAAAAGTTAGTATGTCGACCAATGGCTAAGTGCCACATGGATCCAGCATCCTCTACACAGTCACGCCACCTGGTGACTATGTACCGGCCACGACACACTGTCGCTGCCGCAGAACGCGAGCGGATGCTGCCACACTACATCCTCCTCACAGTCACGTAGGCCAGCGACTATGCGCCGGCCACGACACACTGTCACCTGGCCACAGAACGCGACGCGGATGCTTGCCACACTACATCCCTCCGTCACGAGCTCACGTAGGCCAGCGACTATTTACGGCCGGCCACGACACAACTTGTCGCCTGTGCAGAACCGCGGCGGGTGCTGCCATACTACATCCTCCTCACAGTCACGTAAGCCAGCGACGGGGGGGAATATGCGCGGCAAGCGACACCTCACCTGCTCGCTGCTGCAGAACGCAGCCGGATGCCTGCAAACTTACTACATCCTCTGCACAGTCACGGTTAGGCCAGCCCCGGACTATCGCCGGCCACGGATACACTGTCACTGCCACAGCAACTCAGAGCGGATGCCTGCCCACACTACATCCTCCTCAGCAGTCACGTAGGCAACGAACTATGCGCCCGGCCACGACACCACTGTCGCTGCCTTGCCAGCAGAACGCGACGCGATTGCCCACACTTACATCTCCCCACAGGTCACGTAGGCCCAGTGACTATGCGCCGCACGACACCACGGCTCGCCGCCGCAGAACGCGGGCGATGCTGGCCACACTACATCCTCGCTCACAGTCAGTGGCCAGCGACTATGCGCCGGGCCACGACACACCTTCTGCTGCTGCAGAACGCCGGTGCGGTCGTGCCTCCCCACACTTACATCCCCTTCACAGGTCACGTGGCCAGCGACTATGCCGCCGGGCCACGACACACGGTGTCGCAGAACTCGGTGCGGGTTGCTGCCCACACTACATCCTCCTCACATTCACGTAGGCCAGCCGACTACTCGCCGGCCATGATACACGTAGTCGCTGCTGCAACCAGGGCGGGTGCTGCCAACACTACATCCTCCCACAGTCACGCTAGGCCAGCCGACTAGTGCGACGGCCACGACACACTGCTCGCTGCCTGCAGAACGCCAGCGCGGATGCATGCCCACAGACTACCATCCTCCCCACAGTCACGTAGGCCAGCGCACTGACTGCGCCGCGCCACGATACACTGTCGCCTGCTGCCCAGAAACGCAGGCGGGTGCTGCCCACACTACATCCTCCACACAGCTCACGCTAGCCAGCTGACTATGTGGGTGCGCCAGCCATGATACACTGCTCGCTCGTCGCAGAACGCAGGCGTGGGTGCTTGCCCACACTACCTCCCTCCCCACAGTTCACGTAGGCCATGACTATGCGCCCGGCCATGTCATACACTGTGCAATAAAAAAATAACAAAGGATATTGGCGCTGTGCCGTGCAGAACGCTAGCCGGATGTGCCACACTACATACCTCCCCACGTCTCACGTTGGGCCCAGTGACTAATGGCGGCCGGCCATGATCACACTGTCGCTGCCGCAGAACGGCTGAGGCGTCGATGCCGTTGCCCACGACATCCTGCCCACAGTCACGTAGGCCCAGTGACTATGCGGCCGGCGCCATTGATACACTGTCGCCTGTCGCAGGAACGCCAGCCGCGGATGCCTGCCACACGTATACATCCTCCACACAGTACGTTAGGCCAGCTGACTATGCGCCGCCATGATACATGTCTGCCCTGCTCGCAGAACCGCAGGCGGATGCGTGCCACACTACATCCTCCACACATGTCACGGTAGCGCCAGCGAGCTATTGCGTTCCTCGGCCACGACAACGACTGTCGCCTGCGCAGAACGGCGACGCGCGACCCTGACTGCCACAACTACATCCTCCTCACATGTGCACTAGGCCAGGACTTGCGCGCCACGACACACCGTGTCCGCTGCCGCAGAACGCGGCGCGATGCTGCCATTACTACATCCTGCCTCACAGTCACGTAGCCAGCCCCGACTATGCGCCGGCCACGATAAGCACTGTCCGCTGCCGCCAGAACGCAGGCGATGCTGCCACACTACTCCTCCCCACAGTCACGTAGCCAGCGACTATGCGCCGGCCACGACACACTGTCGCTGCCCGCAGACGGCCGGGCGGCTGCTGCCACACTACATCCTCCCACAGTCACGTAGGCCAGCGACTATGACGCCGGCCACGCACTCTGTCGCAGCCGCGCAGAACGCCGGGCGGATGCTGCCCCATCACTTACATCCGCTCCCACAGCTCACGTAGGCCAGCCTGACTATGCCCGCCGTCGCACATATCACTGTCGCTGCACAAGAACGCGCGGATGCTGCGATGCCTGCACACTACATGCCCTCCTCCAACAGTCACGTAGGCGCAGCCGACTATGCGCCGCGCCACGATACACTGTCGCGTGCGCGAGAACGCGGGGCAGATGCTGGCCACACTACGAGTCCTCCCACTAGTCACGTAAGCGCCAGCGACTATTGTACCGGGCCACGCACACTCTGTCGCTGCCTGCAAACGCTCGGCGGCGGAGTGCTGCCACACTACATCCTCCCACAAGTCACGTAGGCCAGCGGACTATGCGCCGGCCACGTTACACTGTCGCTGCGCAAACGCGGCGGGACTGCCTAGCCACGACTACATCCTCCCCACAGTCACGTAGGCCACCGAACTATGTATGCGGCCACGACACTCTGTCTCGCGCTGGCTGCAGAACCGGAAGCGATCTACAGGACGACATGCTGCCACACTACATCCTCACCCCACAGTCACGTTAGGCCAGCGGACTATGCGCCGGCCAACGATACAACTGTCGACTGCCCGCCCAGAAAGAGCCGGAGCAGCTGGTGCGCCCGACACTACATCCTCACTCACAGTCAACGTAGCGCCAGCGAACTCCCCCCCCCCCACCCCCCGTCTCCTCCCCCCCCCCCATCTACCCTAAGACAAAATATGCGCCGGCGCCACATACACTGTACGCTTGCCGACAGAACGCGGGCAGATTGCTGCACCACACTACAACTCTCTCAACGCCACAGTCAAGCGTAGTCGCCAAAAGCGACTATGTACCCAGACCACGACCACTCTGTCCTGCTGCCAGACGCGGAAAGCGGAGTTGCTGCCACAAGCTGGACACCTCCTACACAGTCACGTAGCGCACTGCGACTATGCGTCCAGGCCCACGATACACTAGTCGCTGCTCGCACACAGAACGGGGGGGTAACTATCAGAGCCGATGCCTGCCCAACACTACATCCTCCCCAACAGTCAGCTAGAGCCAACGCACCTAATGCGCCGGCCACGACACACTGTCGCTGCTGCAGAACGCGGGCGGATGCTGCCACACTACATCCTCCTCACAGTCACGTAGGCCAGCGACTATGCGCCGGCCACGACACACTGTCGCTGCCGCAGAACGCGGGCGGGTGGTGCTGGACGACATCCTCCTCTTGCTCTCCGCGCTCAGAATTCCGGTCCGGCCGGCGGTTGCCGCGATAGCCGTACTCGGCATGCTGACGGCGACCGCCGCTGTAGTCTTCCAGGGGATCACTGTCGTAATCGTCCGCACCGTTCTCCGTTCCATACCGCTGCCCCTCGACATACTCCCCGCTCTCCATAATCTCCCCGCTCTCAATATACTCCTGTCCCTCGTACTCCTGCCCCTCGAGATACTCCTGTGCCACGTACTCCTGCCCCTCGACATACTCCTGTCCATCCACACACTCCTCGTATTCCTGCCCTTCCACGTATTCGCCCGGCTCTATGCCGTACTCTTGTTCGTCGGCGTACTCTCCCGACTGCGGGTACGCTTGTGCTGAGTAGTCGGCAGCGTAGGGATCCTGTGCGCTGGTGCACTCGTCCAGTTGGCCTTCGTCCTGCGTCGCATCGTACGAGTGGTACGCATCGCCTCGGAGATCGGCGTATGCTGACCGTCTCGTGTCGCCCGGTGGCTGGGTGAGCAGAGGTGTTCGATCCGAGGTTGACGGCAATGCCGGAGAAGGCAGTAGATGCCTCCTGTGCTTCGTCTCGGCTGGATGCGCTGGGGGAGGAGGTGGGGGTGGACTCTCCACGCCCTCGTGGGGCAGTGGGGGAGGCGACGCTGCCGGCGGCGGCGGCGGAGTGAAGTCGAATTCCGACAGCAGCGAAGATTTATTCTTTAGAGGGGGCGACGGATTTCGAAAACCCGTCAAGCCGTTGCGGTCCGTCGTTTCCTGCGCATACGACGCGGCTTCGTCGAAACCGTACACTTGTTTATCATCGTTCAATGCTGACATGTGGGGTGTGTCCGAAGGGATGTCCGGATTCGGCAACAACGGGCTCTTGCCTGCCAAGGAAGAACGACGCCGATGCCACTCTGATTCCGACTTGCTGACCCTTTGCTGTGAACCCGCCGCTGAATGTCTGACAGATTCGTCCACTGGTGATTGTGCTGGCGGCGTCACAATACACGGGGACGAAAGCAGTGGGCTTTTGTCGCTGAGAGAATCTTGTCGACACATGCCTCCCATTTGTGATGGTGTTGAGATCAGTGGTGAATATGATGACATCGACCTACTGTGCACACTAGCTGGAGAGGTAATGCCTGCATCACTAACATCATAGTTGGGCTGCATTGGTGACATCACCTCGGTGTTAACATGATGCTGCATATTACCAGCAGATCTATGAGTCTTCTGGGTGTCAAGCCTCTTGCTAGGTGACCCAGGAACGAAACTGCAATTTGTCCCGATTGCACCAAAAGGTGTGGAGACGCTGGATGGAGAGGCGTTTAATACTGGATGCTGGGCCTCTGCCGAGCGTAGATTCTTCGATGTTACTGAGACACTAGCTTTTAGTGTTACACGAGGAGCAGATGTCAACACGTGTCGTTTCTTAACCTGGCTAGATTGTGGAGATTGCCCATCGAGAATGGGACTAAACCCGGGGCTATAAAGAACTCCTCGATCACTGCTACCGGTAGCAAAACTTTTCACGCTGCTATCACATGCCTCTATCGTCTGCTTATCTGCACTGATACTTGCTGTTGAAGAATCAGGCACAGGCTTGGATGCTTTAAGAACTTGTTCAAGTTTGTCCAAGCAGGTCAATAATTGGGTTTTCATAACAGCTTGTGTCCTGGGTTCCTGTCCTGGCTCCGACTTACTCGAATCTTTGGTCTCCGATTCCGTGGATTTAGACTCGCCGGAATCGGGGCTCACCTTTTTGTTTGACGCCTCCAGTTTAATTTTGTTTGCAAGTGATTTTGCTAGCTTTTTCGCCTTTATTTTCCGAATTTGCTGAATCGTTAAGATAGGAATGCTCTTGTTCAGTTCAGATGTATCAGCTGTTGTGACCGGACTGTTCGTGTGGTTGGATTCATTGCCCTGTTGAAGTGTCATTGGTGATGGACTGCTGTTATCTGACGGTGAGACGCCTTGAGAAACATTACTGTCCCATTTCGTCTTCCTCCTCCTAGCACTGTGACTGTCTGTTGGGCCAGGGGAAGGCGAACTCACAGGAGCTAGCATAGTTTCAACAAGATCTGCTGTCACTTTGCTCTGGATGGGATTATTCATGGCACTCTCCATTGTTGGGGACGTGGTAGACGGCGTGCTAATGGACGAGGGCATGGGGAAACTCGAACCTAGCCCCGGCGCAAGCACGCCCGCTGCACCGCTCGCTCTCTCACTGCTGTTGCTTGCGATGTCCCCGTCAGCATTTCCTGCCACACCGTGCTGCTTCGGGCTGACGTCCATCAAGGCCTTCATCGGCACTGGCGATCCAGCTTCCAGACTAGCAGGACTTCTGCCACTCGCGTTTCGGAGTCGCGGATCGTCGCATTTCACCGTAGAACTTTCCAGAGGAATCTTCAACGGCTTGTGCGTCTTCGCCCCCGCAGGGGCGGCTTCATTCTCACTGTCGTGATCCGACGGACTCTGAACCGCGTGCGAACTCACAAGCAGGCCAGGTTTGAAGTTGGGCACGGCAAAGCCAAACTCCTTGTCGACGCGTTTGGCACCTCGAAACATCTCAAAGTTTGGTGACGGTATCTCGGCGAAGTGGCCACCGTCCGTTTTGTGCTCTGCGGTGGGCAATCTCGGCGGCGACGTGGCGCTCTCAAAGGCTGGCCTCACGTGCGACCCTGAATGCGAGCGTTTTCTATCGCGGCTGCCATGTCTGTGTTTCGTCTTCGACGCTGGCACTGCAAATTCCTCCCTATCCTCAACACTCTCCGACGACACCTTCAGCTTAGCACCAGCAGAGAAGAGATGCGCACTGCTGTGTATGTGCGAAGCGAGAAGTCCGGTCAGGCTAGACTGCTGGTTTTGGCTCGACCTCTCACTGGATGCCTTGTGCTTGTCGCTAGAGCTGCGGCGTTCTTTGCGGTGGGACGACGAACGGCTGCGCAGATAACTGGACATGGTTTGTACGGTTCTGTTGCAGGTTTTTGGCTCTGCAGCGCAACGCAGACAAGCCAGCTCTAGCACTGTCTGATGGCCGACACTCTTCACTAGCTGCACTGACGTCTGCACTTCTTTCGACATCTGACTCCTGTTGATCTTGCAGTGGATGCAGCTGCGCACGACGTGCAGAAGTTCCAGCGGCTGAGAGTCCTCCGTCTGCGTCACCTGCTCGCGACACTTCACCGTGTGTGGCACGCGCACCGGTTTCGCAGGGAGGGAAATCTTTGGTTCGTCGTCGGTGCACTGCCCCCGACTCACCATGCTGGCGCGCGCCTGCACGCCCTGCTCCCGTCTCGCTACGGAAGACGACTGCGATGACGCGGACAACGCCAGCGCGTCCGTTGGTTTTGTGGGCAGTGGCACGGCCGGGACGCCCGTCAGCTGCGCGTGCACGACCTTCGCTAGCTGCGCCAGCTGCTGTATCTCCTCGGCCGTGCTCGCCTGCACCATGCACCCCTGCAGGAACTGCGCCAGATTCGCAGCGACGCCATCCATGAAGCGTGCCGGCGGCTGGTAGCTCCAGGAGACCGCCGGCGAGCGACCGAACGAGGCGCCCATCGTCAGGCTGGGACTGCACGCAGTCGGTAGGTCGGGACTCGGCGTGAGAGGCGTGCGCGCCGCCGCGTGTCGCGACAGCGGCGGCTTCATGTCGTTCTCGTCCGTCCGACTGCCTGCCGTTCCAGCTAGCTTCTCCTCCGAGCCGTCAGGCAGCGAGGGGATGTCGGGCAAATCGTCGACACCATCGCACAAAGTCGCGTGGTCCGATCCCCGACGCGGTACTAAGCTGTTCGCTGCTGTCGTCTCGCCGGCGGACTCAACCTTGGCAAACTTTGCCAGCTGGTCCGGCGGCAACCGCTGCAGAGAAAGTACGGGCTGGTAGAGCGGGTCCGACGCGACGGCAACCTGCACGTGCTGGAAAGCCGGGTCATCACCGTCATACGGCGGGTACGTGGGCGCGGCGTAGCTCGACAGGTATCCGTAGTCGACGGGCTCCTGCTTGATGTACACGGCCGGGAACGAGGCGAGCTCGCCGCTGCTGCCGGCTACGCTCGCTGAGCCCAGCAGCTGCGAATCCACGCTCATCACGTTCGAGATCACCGGCAGGCTACTCGCTCCCGACTCCGCACCCCACACAAGAGACGCGACTTCGGGAGCGCCGCCGCTGCCACCGTCGCCGTCGCCGTCAGTCGACGGAGACCAGGTGGCGCCGCCGCAAACATCCATGTAGATAAGCGCCGCGGAGCCGGCCGGGTCGGCGGCGCCGTCGCCGCCGGACGCTTCGCAGTTGCCGCGGCGACGCATGCGGATGCGCTCGAGCTGCGCGCGCATCTGCACGATCTCTTGCTGGATGGCGGCGTCCGGGTCGCGGCGCAGCAGATTGATCTTCGATATGATGAGCCGCTCCTGTGCATCGTGCTGGCCCGTGTGCGAGGCAGGGGCCGCCGCAGCGGGATCACACGCCAACGCCTCCTTCTCCTGCGCAGCCCCCCGTGAATTCTTCTGGCTGCCGCCGCTCGCCCAACGCCCTTTAACGGTCTTCTTTTTCAGCAGCGACGCAGGCGCCGGTTTTTTCGCGGGATTGGTCTGGTTTCCCGATTTGAATTTTCTCTGAAATCTCTTCTGCGTGCCCGCAGTCTCCGTTGAGTTGGACGGCACGGGTGCTGTTTCCGCAGCTTCTTCTTCAGCTTCCTTGCCTTTGTTGGCCTCCCAGTCAGCATCGTTAGAGGATCGGCATCTTCTTTTTAGTTTCACTGATTCAGCAATGTTAGAAGATGCCGATCCTTTCTGCTTCCTGCCAACTGCATTTCGCTGCAATGACTTTCGCTTCCCACCCCTTCCCACGAGGCCAATAGCTTTGCGTTTCTTGCCTGACTGCATGACAAAGTCATCCTCACTCGGACAGCGAATCTGTTCGATGTCGCCAGGGGGAGACCTATCACTTTGCACAGGCGATGATACATCCTCGCTCTCCATATGACTAATCGAAGGAACCTGTTCGTGAGGACTCGGCTGTGGCAAAACACTGTCGTTGTTATGACTAATGACATCGGTAGCACAGGTCTTTTCCTGATCACGTGTATGGGAACTGGCTTGGGGCACAGCAGTACTATCGTTGTGATGAATTCGAGGATCCACTCGCACTTTTTCTGCCGACGACGTCGCACTTAAGGGACCAGGCGAACGATTTACTGACGTCTTTTGTGAGGACTTCAAAGATGATTCTTTCCTGTTCAACGTCGATACCACAGATGCAGGCGAGCTGTCTTGGTTCGGTTCAGCACTGTGAATTTTGTATTTCTGCTGCGTGGAAAGCGCTGCCGGTGAAGATGCACCACCTAAAGTAGAAGGGCAGAATTTAATAGACAAGTTTATTCTTGATACATGTGGGTTCACATGTCGTTGATGTGAAAAATCGCTGAACAGCACGTGAAGCAGTGAGGTATGTGAAGCAGTGTACCACGGTGATACTGATTATATTTCACACACAGCTTGTTAACTTATAAAATTTTAGGTATATAGTCGCTGTATACGCTTACCCGCTGGCAGGGATGGCATGGGACCACGTGGTGGTTGCAAACCCAGTAGCCGCCCCTCCTTCCATGCGACATGGTCCTGCACTTTGACGTATGTAATAATTCCTGCTGGCACGCAGTGACGAGGGCATGACACTGGCTTCCCATCTGAGCCAAATTCGTATAAGTACCCCTGTCACAAAAAAACATGGCAAATATGCAGTTAAAGCAATTGAACATAATAATCATTGAATTCCCTTTTAGCTTATAAATAATCCGAAATCTCAACAATACACACTTTTGCATATCTGCTATTATAAGACGGTCAAAAATGTTAACACTATTAAAATCCTACAATCCTACTAGTTTTAAACTAAATCTATGACAGTTCCTACCACACCATTAGTTTACTCTTAGGCACCTCAAAATAAAACTAAAATAAGCCTTGAGATAACTAGTGTTGGGAATCGGTCCAAAAATCTAGATCAATCATCACTCTCGTGTAAATGACTGATGATCGATTTCAGATCGATTTTATCGCTACATACTAAGGAACTAGAATAAATGATCTAATACAATGGGTCAAAGTGTTTATTAACAGTAGGTATGTACATGTAACATTGAAAGCTGGTCTACTTGACTCGGTTTAAACGAAACAAGGGATATTGTTACAGTTATCAGTTTGTGACTACTTGTCTACTGACAAGTATAACAAGTGCCGCGGAGCGACAGCGCTCATCTAACGTCTACTGCGGTGACTCAGGTTGTGACATGATATGCCTATATTAGATTGATTTTTTAGTATTTATTACTTTTTAAATTCTTTCTTTTTTCTCGTTAATCTACCAAAAGCCATTATCTACAATTTTAATATTATAAATACAGTGAGATCGATGCCTCTCAAACTATAAGTAGGGTACGGTACTCAGGAACCATGCTCTAATATGGAATGTTGTTAGGTTATTTACTCCTTAGATAGTGGGAAAGAGCAGAATTGGCTATTTGTATATATCGTTTAAGTTGTCTAAAAAGATGAAGATGGACAGCTACCCAATGCGTAGCGTAGTAAAGTGGCAAAAACAAATCAGTATTTGCAAGAATAACAAGAATAGGTAGTCATTCATTTGCCATTCCCATCTTAGCCTAGATACGCATACGCAAGGCCCTCCTTCATCACCCAGCAGAACAACGGCTGAAATATGAGAGTGTGCCACAGCTGTAAACTAATTAAGCAATCGTCAGGCAAAAACTACACAGTAATATCACGCACCCACAAGTGCACTGGCAGTTGGCCAACATGGTAGTGGCATACCGTTAGCATGTAACACATCATCTGAGCAGTACAGATGATTTAAAGAGAGGCATTCCAACCCTCTCTCACCAGCCTACCTAACTCCCTAAACTAGAATCATTAATATTTAAAGACTATTAGGAAATTTCACCATATTAAGTGACAGACTTGATAAGCCAATCTATTAATCATCAAGCAGAAAGATAAGGCAATAGTATAAAAACGATTACTACTTCTCATGCAAACCAACCATCAGAGACAGTAATTCTCAAATTCATATTCTAAAAAGAGAAGCAGTAAACCTCAAAATCCATTTATGTTCTAAACGCCTCCTCTTGAGGGTCAAAAAGGTTATCCGACACTGATGCTTTGCATGTCAGCAGAAAGTACATTTCATCAGGTGCCCTTCTCAATTAAAGCGCATTAAAAAAATGCTAGGGACGGTCACCGCTGAAAACAAAAAAGTTTTTTCAATCGCTTCAGTCAGAACCATGTCCTCAGAAAATGTCTCAAATTGGCCAGCTGTGCCGCCATCTACCTTTTGTCCTGTGACCTTCCAATTTCGGCACAGTGAATAGGCTTTTGCCTGAACCATTGATGCTATACATGACTATCACGATGCATAGATCGAGCCGTTTAGATTTTGTGCCGCCATTCATGGCATTTCCTTCCTAATACTTTAAAGTTATTGGAGCGCAAATGTTCCTTCTTTGTACACCTCTTGACCTTTGCCTTTGGCCCCGCCGCAGCTTCGCCATCCCAACTTGTTTTCGGGATTGCCGCCCCCCCTCCCCCCCCACACGCACGACACGCCACGCAGCACGCACGCACGCACGGCACCCGCACGCACGCAGCGCACGCACTGCATACGACGACAGCGGCACGCAACGCACACACACACACCAACACACGTCCCGAATATCGTGCACCGTCGTCCGAGCCGGTTAGGATTTGTGCCCCAACCTGTTTCTGACGGGGCGAACGGCGACGATATCGCGATTCCTACAAGCTGCATCTGACTACGTCAGATGAGCTAAAAACGAGCCTCAAGGCCACGCGTGACGCGGCGACTTTTGATGTACACGATTGATCGATCGATCGATCACGTACTATATCCGGCCTGCGTAGCACGCGCGGCACACATACACACACACTTGCAGCATCAAATAAACGCACACACTGGCCAACGTCTGACAATCTCAAACAGTGAACTAAAACGCTGTGTCTATATTGTAAAGCGAACTATATTACGTAGTCGGTACTTAGCACAACTTTTTATATTAAACAAGTGATTATAATCGATTAATCGCTCGTTCAAAAGGAGATTAATCCAGATGAGAGACCGGATACCAGAGAAGCGTCGCCCAAACGAGGTGTTCATCCTGACCGCTGAGCGCGGATCTTGCGCGCAGTTTCGCGACAAGGCGCACGCGATCGCGGGAACGTCCTACGAAAGTATCACGCGCTGACAGCTATTGATCCGTGCTCCAAATCCAAAGGCCGGCGCACGGATCAATAGCTGCCAGCGAACAGTCTCGAATTTTAGCGGGTCTAATTCACTACCAAACATATGCACACTGCCACACGCCATCGCGCAGGTCTAATTGCATGGGAATCACTGAAGAACTGCTCCATCAATCACGCGACACGGAAGAGGAATTCAACAACCGCGAAATATACAGTTTAGTTATACCACAGTATTAGCCTATGCCCGTGTGCTGTGTGTGTACGACGGCCTTGTCTGTATAGCAGAAGGCAGAAAGGTTCGATATGATATGACTACTAGGCACTTTAATTTAATTTAATTTTTTTTTTTTAGGGTTAGGGTTAGGTTTTTTTTTTTAAGTGCCTAGTAGTCATATCCTAAGTTCCTAGTAGTCATATCATATCGCACCTATCTGCCGGGTGCTCTGTATATAGCTCCGTGGCGCCATCTATCGGAGGATAAAGACAAGCTGGTGCAGGAGGCGTTACCCACAGCATGTCATGTGACGAAATCGTAATTGGGAGAGAGAGACGGTATAGCGCACTTTCACCATGCCATATGCGACACGTTCCTGTGTAGACTGTAAGCAGGCCGCAGCCGCTCGTGTAAAAACTGTGGGCGCATGACGCGACGCATTGGTCGGCTAGCAGCGGCCACGTCACCAAGTAAACATCGTGATTGGCATTCGGTGGGCGTAGTGATTGAGGCCATTAGGGTTATTTAAGGATTTCGATAGTTTTTGGTGCGCTTTTAAATCCCAAAAATTTTCTCGTGCTAGTCCATGACATGCTTACCAGCAAACACTGTGTCAAGTCAGTCACTGTTGCCCACGAATTCAGATTAGTCAAATTCCCATGCAATTCTGGTATGATTTATGCTACCAGTACAGCAGTAGGAAGAGCATGCCGCTGCATATATGAACTCAAACCTTCGGTTTGCACAACGACGGGGCGTCCTACGGGGGGCACGATTACGTCGAGCGCCGTTTTTAGAACGATTCCTAACACTAGAAGTAATGCATGAAATTTGCTTTATTTATTTTGGAAACATAAAAAACTGTTGTATCGTTTGTAACCACGATGCAGCCCGTACCGTATCGCGTATCGTATCGCGGCCGTCATATCGCGATACACCGGTATACACGTGTATCGTTGCGCCCCTAGTTTTTAGCCAGTTGCTTTCAGTTGCGTTGAATCGGATTCGCGTTGAATCGCCGGCGACATAAGCCCCGCTTAAAACTCGCGCTCCAGCAGAGATGTCGCGGAATCAGTCTATGTTTACAAATTACAAATGGCGGCGTACTTACAATGCAGAAATGATACGATTATCACTCTAAATTATTTAGACAGCCGTCAACGCATTTATACTATGGTCAGGCGGACAGGATGTGCGACGACCCAAAATAAAGGTTAGCATTAGTTAAATAAAATCGATCTTCAAAAAATCGTGATCGATTAATCGATTCCGAAAGTAAACGACCAAAAAGACCCACTAGAGATAACACACCAAAACGGTTATGCACTCATCTACATTATTTGTAATTTTTAATAATTATCATACATATCCTATAATACACCACAGAAACACAAGTAGCGATCCCTCATGATATCACCAACCTTATTATATTTATTATTATAAAAATAAGCAATTAATGCTTATTGAAAAGTTGTGATATGATTCTGACTGCAGCATTGTGGTGTCATAATCATACTGTAATATTGTCACTGTCAGAAGTTTCCTTCTGAATTGACGCCGTTTCGACCACGGCCGTTTGAACGCGAGGCGTTTCATCTCAAACAAACTGCAACTCACCTGAGCCGCTCGCCCGCATAAGTGATTCTTTGGCATGTTTGGCGGCGCTTTACTCGAGGCGATATGGCTGTCGAAGTCTGGTGAAGGACTCGACTCGTAGTCTGGTGGGACTAAGCACTGCCTCCCCAACATAACCTGCAACATTCAAAACTGGAGCTTATTAACTGAGTTCTATGCGCATGACAATGATTACTATGATTACAATGATTATTCTGCCAATGTAATGCTTAAAGCCGCACTATGCGCATCCAAACGCTAATTTCTCCAGTACTAGACTAGCAAATACTTCGTGTCATGCATAATCACACTACCTTATGGCAAAATAAACTCTAGTTCCTCCCATTTCAGTGCGCGCTTGCCTAAAACCCACAAGAAAGAGGTGCGAAATCTGGTAATCTGGCGCCAATGCTAAATTGTTTGCCAAACAATTTCGCCAACAATCGGTTACGTGACGTCACATGTTTTTATCTTTGCTACACCCGTACCGCTGTACCGCAGCACCGCTCCACGGTTGCTTGGCAGAGCAACGCAAAAGTGTCAACAACATCAAAGAATTTGAACAACATCGGAGGTATTTTCAAATGCCTTTTACAAGACAACGCGCAGTGAAATGGGAGGAACTAGAGTTTATTTTTTCACAAGGTAGTGTAATTATGCATGACACGAAGTATTTGCTAGTCTAGTACTGGAGAAATTAGCGTTTGGATGCGCATAGTGCGGCTTTAAATTAACGGTGTGTCGCCAATCACAATTTACACGGCCGATCAAGAAATTTTCTCACACTCCCACAAAAAGTTATATGCATGTGCCGAGTTACGTGTAAAGTGCATTTGGTTAATAGTTATCTATCTAAGGTTGCCGCATCAGATAAAGTTCCAGCACCTATCTCGGAAATTACTTCTGCACTAAATGTAACTCAGACGAGCTAGCAAAACATAACACATGACAGTCTGAAGCTATATATGACGGTAATAAAGACAGACGTTTCACTTCCTAACGAATGAGTATGTCTTGAAAACATCATATTATAAGTGGCTGTCATACCTTGTACACCACCAGAAAGAGAGGACTGGTGAAGTTTATTCGCTGAGCTAAGCGCATGACTTCATCTGCATGGAGGTGAACATTAAGTCCTTTACTGCTGTCACCCAGGTGGTTTTTCTTTCGCTGCACTGCCTTTAAGCCGTGCATGCATATTTGCTGGATAATTCCATTCTTTGACACGCCAAAACCACACTGCTCTCCTAAAAAAACAACGAAGATAGATTTTTTCACAGGAGTATGTTAATTAAAAGTAGCACTGCAGACATACACGTGAAAAAATAATACAAGTCACACGTATGCTGGTTTTATTCGCGTAAAACCAAGAATGAACGCAAAATGTCAACAAAGGCTTACTTGAATCATGATTGCGACTTTGTAGCTCGTGCTTTTTCTCGTAAAATCTCTGCCACAGGTACTTGTTGTTGACCGTGTGCACTGCGACTGGCAACCAGTAATGCACGGCTGGGTCGGGAGGCGCGTAGTAGGAGTTCTCAGCTCGCATAATCATCTCTCTATACTCCCTATCACCAGAGAGGCAATCTCGGAATAGAGCTGCAATTGCCAAGTACACACTCAACTTCAAGTAAATAGTATGAGGAAACATGTTAATTAAACAATTACCAGCTTCTGGGTTAACTAACCAAATAATACATACAGGGTTTGACACTTTAACCTTCATTTTCAATATTGACTACTAGTGATTGAATTTAAATTCTTGCAAGACAAAGGAATGTGTTGTCCTTAGTTTCATCAGAAATTGTAGGGCCCCACAGCAAGCTGCATGGGCACAAGGCAAACAACTCATTCTAAGAACAGAACCCCATCAAACATTTATCAATCCCACTTACTTTTTAACAACACTTTCTGTCTAGGCCAAAATTGTATACATATATGGTATATAGGATTTATGGGATGGGTGAAAATGGCAACCAGGTGTAGGAATTATTGTGACTTATAATTACAAACGTTATCCAACTTTCATGGATACTATGGCAAGTAACGATGGCAATCACAACACTTGACGAGATTCTGTTTCTGTTTCTATGATTAATTAGCACTGAGTAGATTTTACCAAGTGTGATTTTTGTTTGAATACGATTCAATGCCTACCGTTACTCGAGTCTTTGCGTCTAGGTATAGCTGGCCCTTTCCACTTTGCCATTATTTATGTATGGTTCACCAACCTAAACAAAATAAAAATTTCATTATCGATGAGGCCACAATTAAAAAAAGCTTTGTTTGCCCTCACCCGACCCAGGCTGAAAAGTTTGGGTAGGTAGGTAGGCTTAAATTTTCTTTGAGGGGGGTCTTTTTACAAATTCAGCATGGTGTCTAAATGCTTGGGTGTGCTTGTGTGGAGATACCTTTTATGTTGAATGTTTGTTTTTCTTGGTACATATAATGTATTGCCTACAGATTTATATAATGTAGTGATACAATTTGTAGAAAAAAAAAGAATGGGAAAGATCAATAAAAATGTTTGAGTCGGCCCCTTTTTGGTGGGTAGGTCGGGTGAGGAAAAACTAATTTTTTTTTAAATTTGGCCCGATAGCATTTATTCATTACTTAGTTATATTTGGTACTATATCCAATAACTGTGCACCATAAATTGGTGCATAAGAAATGTAATTCTAAATTGATATATTACAATTCTGCTTCATCAATATTACGAAAACCTGCTTTTAGCTATCTAGTTAACAATAGAATTAGGTACTATGTATACGGACGGATACACTGCAGCTGATGATTGTGACTATCGTTCAGAGATCTCTTCATATCCAACAGCACTTTCAGCTGTAAAATATAAACATAAATCAGATATCAACATGTGCAAATCTGAGAACCACATAGTTATTCCAACAGTCCTAGTTCGTGAAACTGTACGGACAATAGTGCTGTAACGATACACAAGCCTCTCGATTCGAACCGGTTCTCGATATTAGCCTCTCGATTCGATTCCTTCGATTCGATTCCCAAAATATTGAAAATGTTATCTTAATTTTTATATTTTTATTATTTTGCAATAATAAATTATTAGAAATTGCCAATGAATACTAAATGGTGAATAGACTAGAGAGTCTATAGAGTATATATACACTGCACAGTCGCTGAGTAACATTGGTGAGTAACACCAGAGCATATATAAATCAGTGATTTATATGCTCTGGTAACACTTCACAGTATATAGTGTAGTGCCGCCATCTATTGGAGGAAAAAAGTGGTATCGAAGTGGAATCGAAAATACGGGGAAAAATATCGAGGATCGGATCGAGGGAATAGAATCTCGATCCGATTCGATTTCATTGGATCGTTACAGCCCTAACGAACAATGTGTGTAACGTACATAGGTCACGATGAAATGCAGTCAAAAATAACGGGGCGACGTTGAAAGATTATTGTGTTGCTCTGTTGCTTAACTAGTAGTAAAGGAACAATTAACACGTTCCCCGCGGATCCACGAGTCAGCTCGTGGGAACAATCAAAACGCACCCACGCGAATCTACGAGTCAGCTCGTGGATAGATTATTGGTTATTGTTTCTCTGATTTCCAACAGATGGCAGGCACTACCTACCTAGAAATTAAACAGGGACAATCTATATTACCCCAGTCTTACATAAACTAACGAATAGAATGCTTTACCGTTGATTTGAACGTGAAATTAGGAGTTTTGAGACTCCGGAAAATTTGAAATTCGGGGCCAAAGTCCGTTCAACAAGGTTTGTTTACCGTTTTCCTAACGGTATTTAATATAATAACTAGGGCTGTAACGATAGACAAGCCTCTCGATTCGATCCGTATCTCGATATTAGCCTCTCGATTCGATTCCTTCGATTCGATTCCCAAAATATTGAAATGTTATCTTATTTATTACATTTTAATTATTTTGCAATACAAACTCTTAACCAACTAAATTACATTATTTCTTTTTTCTCAACTTTATTTAACAAAATAACTTTAAGAGCATAATTAAAATTAAAAAACGAGGAGTCACGTCTAACTGCAGCCCTGTAAACATATTAGCGATGTGCTGTAGCCGCTGATTAGCTGACTGGCGAGCCAGGACTATTGACCAATCAGAGCGGGCGTCTCATACACGCTTCGGCCGATGCACACATTATGAAGTACTAGCGGGTTGGATCGGATCGAAAATATGGGAAAAAGTATCGAGGATCGGATCGAGGGAAGAGAATCGCGATTCGATTTGATTTCGGTGGATCGTTACAGCTCTAATAATAACTATCTAGTATGTAAAATTTCGAGGTATTTTTGCATGTAGAAACACAAAACAAGGTTCATACCCTACACATGTGTAAGCGTTGTCATATTTCTTACCGGAAAAAATAGTATACAGTCAAATGATATCGTAACAAACTCGAAAATAATATTGGTGCGGTGGCATTTGAGGCGAAAATGCATGAAATGTCCGTTTTTGCCCTGTTTTCATATCAATATTATTATGAAGGGAAACAATTTCCATAATATTTGAACGTGTATGGGTGAGATAACGTTCATGCAGAGTAAATGTGTCAGTTTGGTTAGCTTTCCTGCAAAGGAAATGTGGTAAATCAATAAGTGAATACGTAGTAACAAGAGCTGCAGAGCGTCTGGGCTCATCTGAGGTCTGTTGCTACGGTTATAAACGTAACATTTAAGTCGTGCGTAGTGACACCTTTGTTAGGCGCAGATATGCAAATACGCAGTTGCGTACACATCATTTCAGCAACCTTCTGCATTTTGCATACCTCCCAAATCCCATTGGTTGATACAAATCGCATGCCTGAAACTCCTGTTTTATGGTGCATTGTGACCCTATTGAAAAATAAAAAATATTTAATTCTTGTAAAAATTATTTGTTGTTATGAAATTGTTGTAAATAAATCATGTAAATATTTGCGTTAATTGGAAAAAAATAGTTGAATGTAAAATGGATAAAGATAGAAAAATACAGAAAACAGGTAAATAATAAAAAAATCTGATGGGATTCAATCCAAGGACCTTTGAGCTGTAATCCTGTGCTGTAGCCGTTGGGCTATCCAGGCTTATTGGCTTTCCAGATTATGGATGTGCCATAAATATGAGAACACTGTGACATCATTGAGGCAGTTCAGGAATCCATATTCAACCCTCCTCTTGAGGGTCAAAAGGTTATCAGACACTTACTCTTCGCACGTCAGTGGAAAGCACATTTCATGGTCCTTTCAATAAAGTGATAAAAATGGTAGGTCAGTGCTGAAACAAAAAAGTTTTCCACTGTCCATTAGGCCACGTCCTCAGAAAATGTCTGATATCTGACCTTCCCCCTACTGCCCTTTGACCTGTGACCTCCAATTTTGCACTAGTGATGAGTTTCCTGCCCATCACACTAGACACTGAATATTAAGAGCATAGGTCGAGCCGTTCAGATTTCTGCCGCAATTCCGTATTTCCTCCTATACCTTAAGTTAAGGGGGAAATATTCCCCCTCCGTTTACACATCTTGACCTTTGACCCTTGACCCCCAAATTGATCATCCCGAGTCCTTTTCACAATCCCCCCCACGTCCATAATATCGTGATCGTACGTCGAGCGGTTAAGATTTGTGCCCAACTGTTGACGGACGGACGGATGGCCGGACGGACGTCCGTCCGGACGGCCGAACGGACAAACGAACGGACAATCATGCGATTCTACAAGCTGCATCTGACTACGTCAGATGAGCTAAAAACGCAAAAATCCCAGCGAAGGGAGGTAGGTGCATTGTTAACACCGGCAGCGTTGAACGTGAGAAGTCTCACAATGCTTGTTACTGTCATGTACTGCTGTACATTAAATACAATCCGAGGGATTCCTGTTAACCATAAATTACCTAATCCAAATTCCAATGTTATCATATTAATTGAACAATAAACCTATGGCATTGGTATAGTAATTTCTTGTTACTCGGGTTGTGAATATGTAGATAGACCAAAGAGAACAAGTTGCCTACACATTAAGAGAGTTAACACGTAACTTGTCAGAGCCAAGGCCCAAGGCATGGGGAGAAGCTAGCGCCAAGAAACAGTCTTGCTAGGGTTAGAAGACCATGTATAGACTGTGTATAGACAATCAGTTGCACAGCCTCGTCGGGCTAGGGAGACGCTAGCTACGCCACAACAAATATTGCTGTCACACTTCAAGTTCATTATTGCTCTAATGTATCAGTGTCAGTGACAGTGAGGCTCATAGGGTCTATGTCTCCCAGGGTACTGCCGGAACGTACTACCCTGGGTACGGTCCGGTATACTGGAACGTACCCTGGTAACTATTTGATATGGTTAGGGTTAGGGTTAGGGTTAGCCGTTAGGCTTAGGGTTAGGGAGTAGGCGACTCCCTAGACTCATTCGTGGAGTAGGCGAGGTACGGTCCGGCATATTAGATAGTGCAAGGGTACGTCCCGGTATACCAGACCATACCCAGGGTACTGCCGGAACGTACCCTGAGTACGGTCGGGTATACCGGAACGTACCCTGGTAACTACATAATATCAAGAGCTAATAATACCTAGAGTGTACAACGGAAAAACGGGAAAATAGTGCTATTTCACGACAACATTATTCTACATACTGCTGCGAGTCTATAATAATTTCATGGTATTGCATTAATGCAGATTCTTTGACTCTCTAAACAAGACCCGCTTGTCATACGATACTCTAGGAGGAGATATCGGCTTCTAACCCTCCTCCCTATTGCCAAAGCGCTCGAATTCACTTTCTGTCCATCCTTACGCGGCCTAAGCGTTAGCATTCGTGAGAGTTCGGTTTTTCCGCCATAATTTTAATGATGATTTTCGGGATTCAGTGTGCGGGTGGAGGTAGATTTCGGAGGCTCGCCTATGCCCTGATATCTCCCATTTATCTTTCCTGCACGGCTGAATGCCGTCATGATGGAGCCGGCAATGTTTTTTTAATCTAAGTCTCTACACGCAGCTAGTAGGAGTACAAAATTGAGCATGTGACCGATCACTTATCAGCCGGCTCAGCGGGTGAGGAAACCGCTAGCCGAAAAATGCCTTAGACGCCGTGACGGATGGGGACAGAAGGGGATTCGATAGGGGCGGCGTTTGGCCTGTGGGAGGGGGAGTGAGGTTTGAGCGATATCTCCGCCTGGAGTATCGTTTGACAAAGGCGGGTTGGTCTCTGTTTTAGGAGCAAGATTCTGCTTATGACTATAATACATGAAATTATTATAGGACTTGCAGGCCAAAGTAGAAATAAGTGTTGTCGTGAAGAGTAGCAGCTATTTTTCGCCGTGTTTTCGTTCCTTGCTACATCTGGTATTATTAGCTTTGATAATATGGCCGGACCTTTACTCGCCGTACTTCAAAAACCCGTACCTGACTTACAACTGAATGTCGTAATACATCCGCGTTGAGTCGGAACGAAAATTGCGCACTTTGATGCTCCCGCTTCCCTGTTTCCGGTCCGTGTCCGCCAATAGTCAGTAACCCTCTACCCTGATTACGTCTTTACCTCCCGAACCCTTTCTCGAAGTGTCAGCGACGTCTATCCTTTTTCCACCCATTAATAATAATTACAACATTATCGACCTGTTACTACCACAACACTTGTGGAACCATCTAGTCAAAAGGTGTCGCCCGGGCTCGAAAATGTCGTCAAACATTGCTCGAAGGAAACGGATATCCAGATCATTCGCATATTGCAATAGATGCGATGCGATCACGTGATATGTTTCTTTGAAATTGTTCTTCTTGGTTTTCACTCAGTTACTCATCCTCACATCCAACTCTTCTACAGGATTCGCCGGTCCACTGGATAGAGAACATGGGTCCCAATAAAACCAATGTGCCTAACCCTAACCCTAACCCTAACCATAACCCTAACCTATTATATTGATATAATATTATATTTATATTGATGTAAATGACATTGGTTTTATTGGGACCCATGTTCTCTATCCTTGAACCAAGATATCATACATGATACAGCGGGCGCCTACAGGTCTGTATGTATATTTCAAATTTTGCGACATCAGTAGTGGGCGAAACAGGGACAGTCAGGGTACGGTAGGGAGTAAGCGAGGTACGGTCCGGCATATCAGATAGTTACCAGGGTACGTTCCGGCAGTACCCTGGGGAACATAGACCCTATCAGTATCAGTATCAGGCTCAGCGTCAGCGAGTAGTGTAAACGAACGCATTAACGAAAATAATTAATACAGAATTCGGTGACTCTGACATTTTAGTTGCGCCGAATAACTATATACTTACATTGGTCTTAAAAATAATACATTTAAGACAAATTTAACTATTAATTTTTAGACTTATTTAACTATTTGCTGAAAATAGAACGTGAATCTACAGAGTACAGTACACCTTTACGTAAATATAGCACCGAATTACAGGGTTTTATTACCGACCGCCGACAACTTCAGAAGACAACTTTTAGTGAAACCAGCATTAGCGGTATTTAATAAGTAAAACAGTCTTTAAAAAATCACGCATGATAGAATTATAAAACTACATTACAACGTTTGCCACTTCAATCAAATAATCTGTGCTTATAATATTTTATTTAATGCGAGCGATTCAGCAACTGCATGGTTGCACGACGCGCGGGTGCGAGATATGCATCAGGTAACCGGTACCCGGTTTCATAGAGTTAGAATAATAGAAATATGTAGAGACACAGAGATATTTTAGAATATATTATACTATATAGAGATACCTATATTATTTCTATTGTTAAAATAGAGAATATTTAGAGAATCTCTATAATTTATGTACTTTATATACCTACCGGATATAACTTTTATATATTTTTTTATATATATTATACTAGCTATGGATATATATATATACCTATATTATTTCTATGGTTATAGTAGAGAATCTCTAATTTATGTACTTCATATAATACGGAAGGATGGCACTCGATCACTGCATGATCTCTATATATCACTATATCACCCCGTCCAGTACACATAATATATTTTGTAACGTTGCGACGCGTACGTGCGTTCCCCGCTTTGGTTGCTGTTTCTGCGCATGCAATCTCATTTTGTACTGGTAATATTCTCATTTTCTCATGCTTTTTTGTAACAAGTAATGTACATTTTATTTGCTGATATTTTTTATCTGGGTATTTTGCTACCTTGCTTGCTTTGCGCTTCAGAGTTTAATATGTAATTAACTTATAAGGATAGAGGTTCGAAAACTTTTCCTTGTTCATTTTCATTTGATAATCTATCATACGTATAATATTATACATATCAATATAAGTACCGGTATACTAAGTTCAATTATCATTTAATACATATAGCTTCCTTTAGTGCATTTTAGTAATTATATCCATGTAACCTAGCTATGATATGCTCAATAAAAGTTATGATAGATAGATAGATAGATAGATAGATAGATAGATAGATAGATAGATAGATAGATAGATAGAGATAGATAGATAGATAGATAGATAGATAGATAGATAGATAGATAGATAGATTATCTATCCTATCTATCTATCTATCTATCTATCTATCTATCTATCTATCTATCTATCTATCTATCTATCTATCTATCTATCTATCTATCTATCTAGCTATCTATCTATCTATCTATCTATCTATCTATCTATCTGTCTATCTGTCTATCTATCTATCTATCTATCTATCTATCTATCTATCTATCTATCTATCTATCTATCTATCTATCTATCTATCTATCTATCTATCTATCTATCTATCTATCTATCTATCTATCTCTCACTTCCTGCCCCTTCTCTACCCCCTTCTCTCTTCCTCTATATCTTTATCACTCGCCCTTTCTATCATTCCCTCTATCTTCACTTCTCTTTCACTCTCCTCCCCTCCCCCTCTCTTCCTCTATCTCTCTTTCACTCTCCTCCACTCCCCCTCTCTTCCTCAATCTCTCTTTCACTCTCCTCCCCTCCCCCCTCTCTCTCTCGTCTCCTTCTCCCCCCTCCCTCCCCCTCTCTCTCTCGTCACCTTTCTCTCTCCCGACTACAAACTTCACACGCCCCGCCCCGTGTGCCGACAACCAGTCTCCGGGGATTTTCCGAACATATCGATGAAATCTCTCTTCCCTCTATAGTCCTAATTAATTGCTTGCCGCGTAAGATTTCCGGATAAAGTTTACCGCCGCAGGTAAAGCGCTTTAATTGTTAATTGCATTAGGCCTAGAGCGCGCGACCCGTGCGGCATCGTGTCTGGCTTTCCCTGGCGTGGGTGGCAAGCGAACATTCCTCGTTAGCTGGGAATTCCGCCGCGTACACAAGACAATTATTGCTTATTAGATCGCAGCGACGAGTTAGTCCTTCTCGCCCCCTGCTGCTCCGTTCATGATTGGTTTTGTCTTCTTCTTCTTTCTTCTTTTTTTCTCTTCTTCTTATTCTTCCTCCTCATATTTTCTCGTTTTCTTCTTCTTCTCCTCCCCACTCTTTCTTCTTCATCTTCATCTTCATTTCCTTCTTCTAGTGCATCTTCCTATTTTTATATCCCCTCACTCTCCGCACCGTCATCATCATCATCATCATCATAATCATCATCATCATCATCATATCATCATCATCATCATAATCATCATCATCATCATCATCATATTGATGGTTCTATTAGATTACTCGGAAATAATCTGACTCTCCTTTACCAATTAGTTTCCCGTCTGTCCTCTCCTGCCTTCTCTCAATCATGCCCCTATTTCGTCTTCTTCCTCTTCTTACCCCCGCTCCTTCTTATGTTTCTCTCGCCTTATGATAACAGAGAAAGAAAACGAAACCGCAGTGGAAATTGCAGTTACGTGTTATGACAGAGGCATATATCTA